TGCATCAAACTGCAGAAGTCTGACTAAAACCCAAACAAACCCAGAGAAAGCTGGTCAGCACCTCTATGGAGGAACCTCTGCGGCGAGTATGTGGACACAACCGGCACCTCGCATCAGTCTCAAATTCCTAACTACCTACAGGACTGTGATGGAGGAAAACCACTCTCCTCAGAAGATGGGGGTGGGACACATATGACAGACTGACAAGGTGATGTATGGCAATATGGCAGGAGCAAACCCGAGTCTCCACTGCTGATGGAACGGGTCTGTATTCACCTGGGGATGCTCTGGCAAGAAGATACTGCAATCTTCACTCAGTGCAACCCTTTCCTCTCTTCTGCCTCAGCCAAACCCACCACCAGCACTGACCCATCACTGACAACAGAGTCATTCAGCCACCTCGGGATGGGGGAAGAAGCACCAGTTCCAAACCTCCTGGAGAGCCTCTGAAGAAGCATTAGTTATCTTTTCCACATATTTCCCAGCAGACTCATCCCCACGAAGGCTCTCTAGCACCTTACCGGCAAGGAAATGAGGTTGTTACAGGACAAATCCAAGACAGTAGCTTTTGGAAGAGCAGCCTGAAAGAGAAATAAAGCGCTAAATGAACACGGAGGTTCACCCGAGCCCCTCTGACACCCACTAGTTCTGCCTCGGCCTCTGCGGTTTCTCCCGCATCAGTCTGTCCATCCCCCGGGGCTGCTCCGAGGTCGCGTCATCTCCGGATCGGTTTCTGGGTCCAAAGGCGGTTTTTATCCCGGGATAAGCACTGAACAGCGGCTGCCGGGCCGGCGGGACACGGAACCCCCTTCCCCGTCCCTTTAAATACCCGCAGGCCAGGTCACAACTCCCGCAACACATCTGTCTCCCCCGCGCCTCCCCTTCCCGGGGACCGCGCCCGCCCCCATCCCCGCCGGGCCGGGGACTCACCAGCTCCCGGACCGGCACCTCGTTCAGGTCGCAGAGGCTCAGGTCCAGCTCGTTCCCGTCCAGCTTGTCCTTTAGGCTCAGCCCCTTCCCGCCGCCCCGCGACATGGCTCCGCCGGGCAGCCGCCAGCAGGGGATGCGGGTGGGAACGGGGGTGCGGCACGGCTCGGTTGGGCCCGGCACGGCTCAGCTCAGCCCAGCTCAGCCCGTCCCGTCCCGGCGTGGCACGGCCCGGCCCCGCCACCCACTTCCGCGGCCACGTCCGCGCGGGCCCCGCCAGCCCCCGCCGCGGGGCCGAGCGCGCCCGCTGCCGGCCCGGAGCGGGGCCGCACCGCCCGCACGCCGCCGCGGCCGCGGAAGTGGGCGGCGGGGCCGGGCCGTGCCACGCCGGGACGGGGCTGGCTGAGCTGGGCTGAGCTGAGCCGTGCC